CCCAACTGATACTTGGTTTTTATCCACATGGATTTCAACCTTCAGCCTGAAGATGGGACACGTCAACACCGCCTCCCTCTAAGGCTTCGTGGGCCTGGCCGATGTTGTTGGCCCGGTGACAGGAGAGGGTCAGGAAGGGGGATGGCCAAGAAGAGAGGCTCGAGGGGCACAGGAGAACGCCTGCAGGGAGTTCCAGCAAATGGAGGGACTATTTTAACCTGTTGGTAATCTTCCCAGGGCAAAGATGGGGAGCCCAACTCAGGCCCGGAGGGAATCACATCCCATTTTGTTTTGTGACAAAATAAGGGCCAAGCAGGGCATTTGTATATAATACTCAGAGTCGCTCTGCGCAGATGCGATACACGGGAGAAGAAGAAAAGGTGTGGTGTCCTAGGCTGGCATACCTTGCTTGAGAAAATGATCTACAAATGAGAAATGTCTGCACCAGGGCTTCCAAACACCACTTAGGATGTTCCTTAGGAGACCCCTTAACACATCCCCACTCCCCCCACCAGAGGAAAATCAGCACATGTTGGCTCAAATAAATTAACATTCGCCTTTCCATAGATTCTCAGGGGTCACAGGCTGATTTGAACAGATCCAGAGAGCAAAGGGCCCAGAGGAAGGGCAAGGATGTGGGGGGTGTTTTGTGGTTGACAGAGGTGTGACCCCCAACATCTCATTACCCTTGTTGTAACAACAGCATGGAGGAACGCAAACCTTGGCTGGAGAAGGTGAGATGTACCCATGAGAAGTCCACAGGAACAGAAAGAGGACCATGTTGTAGCTCCGGCCCCATGCTTCTGATGCCCATCATCGCAGTTTCTAGTGACTCATGATGCTTTAGAACTTGCAGTTTCCCCAGGAAAGATTCCTTCGGGTCGATGGGAGGCAGTTCATAGTTTTAAACAGTTGTCTTGATGACCCACGCTACAACTCCACGCACTTGCTAGATCTAAAGTTGTTGTTCCAGAAGGGCACATATTATCATTAATTGTAGCGTTGGCCTGTTTTTACTTTCTATTGTGCTGTTACACGATACCAGATGCTGGTGGTTTTTAACCTTGGTTGCTTATTAGAATCCCTGGGAGCATTCAGAAAAAAAACGGATGCCCGGCCTGCAACCCCAGAGTTCCGATTCTAGTGGGTTAGAGCGGGGCCCAGGCATTGGTATTAAAGAATGGTTTAATTCTCAGGTGATTCTAAAAATCAGCCAGGGTTGAGAAACCACTGTTCTGAGAGCCTCCTACAGACATGCATAAGTCCACAGTGTGGCCCACAAGGCCCACATGATCAATCTGGGTCACCCCTCCCTCGTCCCTTGCTCACCACACTCCAGACACAGGGGCCTCTTTGCTGTTCTCAAACACACCGACTGTATTCCCATCAGAGGACATACGCCCTTGTTAGGGCCCGTTCTGGAATGTTCTTTCCCTAGACATTTGGCTATCTTGCTTCCTCACTCCATTCAGGTCTCTGCTCAAATGTCACCTCCTCAGAGAGGCCCTCCTTGGCCATTCCATTTAAAATACCAGCCTTCCCCAGTCTCTCTCCCCTTACTTCATAGCACTTGTCAACATCTGCCATTAGTTATATATTTACGTATCTGGTTGACATCAGTGCCTGCAAAACAGTAGAAGCTTAATAAATATTTGTTGAATGAATAAAAGAGTGGACAAGGATATATGTAAAATCATGCAAACTCGGGCTTGAAGGAAGTGCTCCGTAACCACGTTTCTTTCCCCGACTCACAAAACCCCAGTTGCTTACTCACTCTGCCTGGTGCCATCCTGAGGAACAGCGACCCCAACTAGAATTTGTACCTGAGTCCCAGACAGAATGGAAGTCCGCTAGTGCCATTCCCAAGAAAGAAGCTTCTAGAAATAGACACTCGGTATCTGATGAGGCCTTCTGATGTGTATGCATGAAAAATTTATAGTAAGCATTTCTGACATTTACAAAAGCCTTTTGTTGGCACCACATATTGCCAAGAATGTTCTCGTCCGCCATCTTGTGGCCAAACTGGGGCACTTCCAGACAAACCGTGTGTCATGACCAGGCTTAGTCAAAAGGGAAGCTGGGCTTGGCCAGAGCCATTTGGCTTTCAGAACATCACAAGGTCCTTAGAGGAGGCCCTGGCTCCTTCTGAGATGGTAAACGTGTTTAATCTTGTCTGTTTCTTGCTCTGAGTGCAGGGTTTACCAATCTCTCCTCCCCACATATGGCCCTCCTTGTCCATCTAGCCCCGCCCGGGGCTGTCCATCCTGGGCTTCAAGGGAACTGCTGCCCCTCCGAAGCTTTCTGGGACCCCCTTCACCATGCCCTGCCCCCCCATCGGCTGTTTGCATTTTGCTATGTGGAAGGAGACGGAATAGCCCGGGGGTTAAGAGGCAGGTCTTTCTCCTTGCTCCCACTCGCTTGGGTTCAAATCCCGGCTCGGCCCTCTGCTGGGTAGATAGTAACTTAAGCTGGTTATTCCTCAGTTTTCTTATCCCAGAAATGGGGGAAATAAGACCTTCTTTAGTATTGTTATAAGGATCAAACTGAGTTAGTCCAGGCTGCCCATGAAACGTTGGCAGCGAGAGGCAGGTTTGTGGCGTGGCTGGCCATCTGGGCTCTGGAGCCAGACTGTGGATGTGACCTTCGGCAGATTACTTGGTTTCTCTGTGGCTGTTGTCTCCTCTGTCGAATGGGAATAACAACAGTAATCTACATTATAGGACTGTTGGAAGGATTAAGGCCTGTAAGCTTCATGCAATAGCGTGTGTAATGCTCTGTCTGCACATAGTGCCCAAGAAATGTTGACTACTATTGTTTGCCATTTAAAAAAAATGAGGCTGCCAAAAAAACTCCATAACGTATGACAAGATGTATGCAAAATGGTCAACAAAAACCCAACCTGGACATACATTTAATCAAGTAATTTTATAAGGTCTAAAATAGTAAGATAAATATTTTGGCACCCCAAAAGAAAAAAAATCCGCCAAATTTTTAAAAAATAGCAAGAGAAATATGAAAACAAAACAAGAATAGGCCGATATGAAAACGATTCATATGTATGTTATAAAAACTCCTCAAAATAGTTTGGCCTGAAGGTACAGTCTTCCCCGCTTTCTGAAAGTTCACATTATGACACTTGACTTTTATAGAAGACCTACATTCGTACCCGTTTTTGCTAGCAGAAAGAAATCCAAAGAGGATTTTTGCTTAAAAAAAAAAAAAAGGTGAAAAGCAAAACTAGCAAGAAAGCATGAGGGCCCAAAAGACCCTGGGTTATTGATTCAGCCGCATGTGTCCCCTCAAGTTGTCCCCTCCCCATGACATTTGCTACTGTCCAATGTCTTGCACCTAGAACACCCATGCTGGCACCTGTCAGTCTGGATGATGTTTGGAATGACTCTGGGAACTTGGCCCCAATCAGCACAGTGCACCTGTTTCCCTTGGTGCTCTCCTCACATCATTCAAGGGCCAACGAAGACCACGTAGTCATCATTTCCATCCATATGCAAAGCATACTACAGTGTTAATATCGGAGTCGAGCGGGGAGTTCATTCAAATATTTGGGAGCCTACTGTGTGCCAGCTGCCCTGAAACAGAGGATTTTTAAAACCTCAGAGTGTGTGGTATTCTTTGCTTTGTAGGAGAAATGAGTTCGAAAATGTGAGACTTGCCCAGTGTTACCCAGCAGCTGTAAGCACAGGTGGGACTAGAATATCTCTAGAGGATTTAGGATTAGCCCTCTTTCAGTTGTTGGCAAGAGAGATAATGCCCACCGAGTGCTCATCACTGTAGCCACTGGTTTACCCCACCAGCAGCACATTATGTAAGCGGGAGGGCAGAAGGATCGCAGAGGCAAAATTAGTAGGTTCTTGTCGCTACTCTTGCACGCCAGACTTCGTTCATTGGGATCATTCCCATCTTCCATCACACCCATCCCAGCCCGAGGTTTAAAGTGTTTGTATAACATGTCGAGGCCCACCAAGATCTGGAGAACAAGACACATACAGAGAGCTTTCAGCCTAGGCAGAACTGGACAGTGAGGACCCACCAGGGCGTAGGGTATGGGACAGCACACGGGGGAGACAGCCAGGCTGGGGGGATGGGAAAACTCCTGGGGGAAGTGGCCTGCATCCTAAAGATGAAGAGGACTCAGCCAGGCAGAGTGGGTGGGCAAAGTTGGTAGAGAATGCGTGTCTCAGGACCTGATTTTTCTTGACCTGGAAATGAGAACCTGACGCATTCCAGAAGAAAGTCACTGTTAGTCGGATCGGTGTGAGCAGAGAGAAAGGAGATGCGTCGTGAGGAAAAAAAAAGCCTTGCAGGCCTCAATTAAGAAATGAGGGCTTGATCCTAAGGGTAGGGAAGGTCTTCAGCAAGGTTTGAGACTCACAATGTGTTTCTGGGTTTTGAGCCTCCCCTTCATTCAGTCTCCACAGTTCGATGATGAGCTTGTGCATGAAGCATCTTGGAAGCCCACCCTGGGCCCTTTCTCCTGATGGGTCACAGGAGCAAGTCCCAGCATTCAGAGCTGTGCACAAGTTTGAGAACAGCCACTTGTTTTTGTAGGAGTGACAAAGTAGAACTACTCTGGGTCTCATACCTGAGATAAATACCTATAGGACGAATCAAGCATGAAGTACTTACAACATTTTACAACAATTTTTGTTCGAGGGAGCGCCTAGGTGGCTCAGTCGGTTAAGTGTCCAACTCTTAATTTCGGCTCAGGTCGTGATCTTGGGGTTGTGGGATCGAGCCTCACGTTGGGCTCTGTGCTCAGTGTGGAGTCTGCTTGAGATTCTCTCTCTGCCCCCCCCCCTCTAAAATAAATAAATGTTTTTAAAAAAAGGAATTTTTGTTCAAGCAGAAAAAATGGTTGTATTGAGAAAAACACTTCAAGATGGTACATAAATATGCACCTGCAAAGCTCTTAGTAATAAAAAAGAAGCATAGGTATCTATATCCCCAGGAAAAATAGGACCAGGAAGAAACAAACCTTGATATTTCATGTTCCTGGAATTTATTGTATGTGGCCATTGCTTTTGTTCATACTTTTATCAACTCCTGATGACATTTTATTGAGCATACACAACTTTTAGAATCGGGACACAGGTTAAGGATTTCTTATCCTACCCCCAAAACACACTGACACTTATTCTTAAGAACAGGAATGTATTTCATACTTGAAACTCCAAAAATCATTACTGGCCTTTACCTGAGTGGTCTTTTGAGTCATACAAAATTTAAAAAGAGCTAAGGAATGGAAAAAATAAAACAAAAAAACAAAAGGTAAAGTTATCAGTTAATACAAGCTGGTGCTTATTATTACATGCCATTCTAAAGCATGTACATTCACTTTTCACATCGGCTCCTGCCTCATTTAACGGTGTTTTCAAAGAGGGTTAAAATGCAAACAATATGGAACTTTGCCACCCCTTCAAAAAATGACTAGTTAGTCCAAAATAACTTCATTTATGTGGCAGAAAAGGAGTTAAAGGCAGGGTGTGTATTCATCGTTGTAGAAACAAGGGTGTATGTGTGTGTATGTATCTCCTTGCTTTAAATATGACTTTTCTTAAAAGGAAAGGACTTCTTCCAGTTTTAGGTTCATTGCTGGCTGCTTGGAAAAGAGCTTTCTTGGTTCACAATTCTGAAGTCTTCCCCATCAGAATGTCCTGCAACCAGGGGACAGAAGTAAGGGCACGTTCTGGACCCAGTCCGTCCTCCACTTGCTTCCTGACATTCACATCTGGGTCTGCGAGACAGGAGCCGTCGTGGAATGTATATGCATCTTTTCCAGGTTCTTTTTCTCATCCTCATTATCAAACTGAGCTTCAATCTCCGCTGGATTGATGTAAGTATAGGATAGGGCCATGATGGCAAATATTACGCAGACAGCCAGGAGCAATGCCGCAAATAGAATGTACTCAGCCCACTTGGAAGGAAATGGAGTTGGAGCAAGAAAAAAACAAAAACAATGCATGTTATGGTACTGTATGCATTGTGAGTGCATTTTCTTGCTACGTCTAGGTAGAAGGTGCTCTGCAATTAAACTGTGATGGAAAATTGGTAGGCGACTACCATAGATACAGAATGACCAGCTTTTCTTGAATGCCCAAGTATAAAGATAACATTTTTGTAACCACACTGGAGGGCAGAAACCAAGACTCTGGGAAGATGAGAGAAAATTTCTGAAAAACCCATGTTAAGGGACAGAGCTGGCCTCTAGAAGGATAGGGACCAACAGAACAGCACCCAGTACTCTTGAGCAAAAAATAATGTGCTGAATTGTTCTAACTTAAGACCTCCATATTATTCTTTGGCAGAATCTTGAGGTTATGAGCACACAGCATGAGCCCATGCTCTGATGGGACTTGAAGGGGGGAGTGAAGAAACAGATAGGGGAAGGGGCAACCCCCTTAGGAGCCATATGCTGAAATGCTGAAGGAGAGAGTTTCAGTTTCAGAAAAGCCCTCACTTTATGTTAGCTGGAAAAATTACAACCACCTTCAGAATGGCTCTAACTTTAGGTGTCATGAAACTTTCTGGAAAACATGTTTGTCTTGGGGCCATTACGCTGCATTCACTGAAGCTAGGAAAGATCTTTCCTTTAATAGTAAACCATATTAGGGTATAGGCATGTTAACCCAAATCTGGGTATTTTGGTTGTCACTTTCCAGCTGTACAACACCAAGTAGAAATATGAAGAATCTGCACACACTAGGCCAAAAGCCCATTTGGTCATCACCCTCTCCAGCTGGTTTTATTCAGCCGTTAGCTTAGATGACCATGTGTATACACAGGGGATGAGGGAGAGTCATCACGACGATCACGGACACACACGGTCTCTTTCCCCACCTCATACCTGTTCACTGATCTGGCCTGCTCCTGCTATTATAAGCACGATGATGTTGCCAACGGCCACCGTCAATAGCCATCCTGCTTGAAGCACCGACTTCATGTTGGAGGGGGCCTGGGGAAACAACACACAGTCAACCCCTATCTAGATGGCAACCACGGAGCTGGAGAACACCACTTACCAATGCATTTAGTTGGGCAGTCCGCCCTAAAAATGCACATCGAAAGTCAGGTTGGTTCACATATAAAAAGGATTATCACTTGGATAACAAGACACCCCAAACACTCAGGCACGAACATACAAGAAGCCCTTGTTTCCCACTCTCCGCAGCCTTGCAAAATTGTTGTCCTGAGTTAAGTGGGCAAATCTATAGATGAATCAATTCTATGTCTATAGAAGAGTTTCCAAGCAAAGCCATCCATCCCATTCTCTTTCCCCTAAATGGAAGCCGCTCTCTGGGCCAGAAGCTTGCTCTGCTGTGAGCTTCGCTGCCATGTCACTGAACCCCTCTTGTCACCTATGATATAGTCATTTTATTCGATTGTGAGGTCATCACAGAAAGGGATTGTCCAACTCATATTTACGATTTTTACTGCAAGACTTAAAGGTGCTAGGCGTTGTAGGGCCACAACGACCTTAACTGTATTTTGATGAAATTGTTGAGAAACTAGGCTCTGATTGGCAAAATTTACCTCATGAGTCTCATCTTTAACAGTTGAAAGCAATAATATCTTTTAACTTTTAAAAGCTAGGCCTTAATCAGTGTGTTTACTGGTAGCTCTGGAGAGATCTCACCTGAGCCTTAATGATTATGAGTACACAACCCAGAAATGAACACCATGATGAACAGCTGACATCGTTTAGTTGTTTCAGAATATAGAATCTGCTGCCTATCATGATCCTGGTCACAGTAATTAATATAGTTTTTCCCACTCAGGACTCTAAATCTCTAGGAAATGATGTGGGAATGCAGAGTCATATGACATATGTGCCCAAGAAGCTAAACAGAGTCATATTATTATTCAATAAAAACATAACGGGGATCTCAAAAAACTTGTTTGGCGGAAGATACCATAATCCTTTCTAGAATCTTTCCCACCCCCCTGCCCAGAATCGTTTAAACTATAAATACATTGCTTATTGAAGTTAGGGCCCAACAGCATTTTTTGAAGGCAGGGGTGTGGGGGAGGGGTGCTAGAAACAATGACCAAGAGACCTGAGAATATGAGAACTCCAGTCCCGTGACAGAGAAAACCACCTCTCCGCAGGTGAGGAGGAAATACTGCGGGATCTGCAGAGCCATGTTAACTGTGTTGGGTGGAATATCTTCAAACATGTGCAATTCGGGGCAGCCAGTATCCTAAACCAATAAGGCAAAAGCAAGAAGAAATTCAAATGGAGAACTGCTTCTAGAATAAAAATTGCTCAAACAGGCAAATGGAGTTTGGACTTCTAGAATCACGTCCTATGATTTGTCAAGTAAGTACACTTTTTATTTTTTATTTTATTATTTATTTTTTTTAAAGATTTTATTTATTTATTTGATAGAGAGAGAGAGACAGTGAGAGAGGGAACACAGCAAGGGGAGTGGGAGAGGGAGAAGGAGGCTCCCCACTGAGCAGGGAGCCCGATGCGGGGCTCGATCCCAGGACCCCGGGATCACGACCTGAGCCGAAGGCAGACGCTTAATGACTGAGCCACCCAGGCACCCCAAGTAAGTACACTTTTTAAATGGCAATATGCAACGGTGCATTTTATCCTCATGCTGAAATGGCCTTGGTGGGATTTGAAAATCTGTCCACTAGTGTTTTCCTCTTAAATCAGAGAGTAGATTGGATGTCAGGTTTGTTTAAAACATTGCCATGTCTTTGAACTCAAAGTTCGTAAGTCCATGTAAATAGTCTATGAAGAGGCATCAAATACCGGTCAACGTGGACTTTCAGTCAGACTCAGTCAGTCTGTTTATTTTTATTCTAAAAATAACAGCAAACTTAAGTCAACAGTAAGTTAAAGAATTAGTGGTGAAGCGAATGAATTCTAAGCCCATTTAAAACACAGATGCTAATATTACTTCCAGTTCAATCATTACCAGGTTCTAAGTGTTTAGTAGAACTTCTGATTTGGGTGCCTGGGTGGCTCAGTTGGTTAAGCGACTGCCTTCGGCTCAGGTCATGATCCTGGAGTCCCTGGATCGAGTCCCGCATCAGGCTCCCTGCTCGGTGGGGAGTCTGCTTCTCCCTCTGACCCTCCCCCCTCTCATGTGCTTTCTCTTTGATTCTCTCTCTCTCAAATAAATAAAATCTTTAACAAAAAAAAAGAACTTCTGATTCAACAGAACGACTTACTGACCTGCTTTCTGATTACATAGGTGAATGCACTACCAAACTCAAGGCTGGGTGATTGGAAACCATTTACACATTCTTGTGGAATCTGTTGTGTTGAGCTTATTTTAAAGTGTTTTCTATGGAAAGAAAGAATAATATAGTTTAACATTCCTGGTATTAACAGCTTCAATGCAGTGTTTAAAGAAAAAGACTTGAAATCCTTGAACTTGGGAGCACAGTGTCCAGGACAGGTACTTACACGCCAGAAGAAAAAAACTGATACTCGCTGGCATTGTGACTGGTCACATTCACATAAACTTTCTCGTCCATTGTGATGTTGAGGCTCTCATTAAAACTATTTACAAATCTGAAACAGAAAACCATTGGTTTTGTGACTGGACTATGGGATACTTTGCTTTAGGTCACAGTACGTGCACCTGAACTTGGGCTGTGCTCTCTTTTGGAAGGAATTTAAGATGTTTATGGAAGATTTCTAGACTTATAAAGGCAGAAGGAAGCCACCCTAGGTTTGTCCTTGTTCACCCGTTCATGAGAACACACCCAAAAGAAGTGACCGCAGTCTTCTGCCTGGAGCTTTTCTAAGTACTTGGTAACTAGGAGCTATTTCAATGGTAGGTTGGGATATTAGCCTGGATGGAAATAGGAGCTGGTCCCCGCTTCAGGAAGGCAGCACTTTGTGTTCCTTGCTCAGAAGCTTTAGAGCTAAAGGACCAAAGTTGAAGTTGCTTAGTACCCTAACAGTCTCCATCCGGGCTTCTTTCTGGGGGTTGAGGATGGAAGGCCATTTTCTGTCCTTGACCTCTAGGAGCCTGAGCAGGGAGGGGCCCCAAAGAGTGGAGAGGAAGAAGAGGGTCGGTCCAGCAATCAGAGACAATTTTGGGGAACTCCCCTCAGAGAGGGAAGACTGAGTCTGTAGGACCTGGAGTGATGGTGACTAGCACTCTGCTAGAATACAGATGGGGGTATAGCACCCACAGGCCCTGGTGCTAGGTCTCAAGGCTTCCAGGAGCTGCCAAGTCTCCTATGCCTAAGCTTCACATGGAGCCAGTTGAGTTGCTTGCCTTCAAAGGGCCATATAGTGGCGACAGTGTGGACAGATGATTAGATCCCTTCCTTCAATGTTCCAGGCTATAGAAGACCCTGACGCTCTTATAGTATATCAGAGAGAAGGGTGCTGCCCCGAATACGACTAGTTGATTTTTCTTACCAGACAGCTGAATGAAAGCTTTCAGCAGATTATCCAATTTAAAGAATGGGCAGTAATAAGATCGTATACCCAAGTATTGCAGAGAACAATTTAACCTGTACATTCCTAAAATACGTGGCCAAATTTCATCAGCTTTGTGGCAACAAGTAATACTGGTCAAATTCTAGGTACTGGGAGAACATTTCTCTGAATTAAGCTCAGGCCCTAAAGTCCCTGGGCATTTCACTTGGTGTAGTTTGACAGATGCTTAACATAGAAAACGGAACCCTGACCCGGGTTCAACAGGGGCCTCATAGTTGGGTGGACGCCTCGGAGTGAAATGGCTGGCTCATAGGGTGACTCTCTGTTTAACATTTTGAGGAACAGTTTTTCAAAGTGTCTGTATCATTTTATCATTCTACATTCCCACCAGCAGTGTAAAAGCCTTCCGATTTGCCCACATCCCCACCCACAGTTGTTATTGCCTGTTTTTTGGTTGTTTTTGTTTTTGTTTTTGGTTAGAGCCTAGTGAGTGTGAAGTGGTATCTCTTTGTGGTTTTGATTCGCATTTCCCTAATAATTAAAGACAATGTGCATCTTTCCTAGGCTTTTTGACCGTTTTTATATTTTCCTTGGAGAAATGTCTTTTTTTTTTTTTTTAAAGATTTCATTCATTTATTTGTCAGAGAGAGAGAGAGAGCACAAGAAGGGAGAGCAGGAGAGGGAGAAGCAGGCTCCCCGCCGAACAGGAAGCCCGACGTGGGGCTCAAACCCAGGACCCTGGGATCATGACCTGAGCTGAAGGCAGATGCTTAACCGACTGAGCCACTCAGGCTCCCAAGAAATGTCTCTTTAAATACTTTGCCCATTTAAAAAAGTGTGTTGTCTTTTTACTCTTGAGCTGTAAGAGTTCTTTATGTATTTGGAACCTCTTATCAGATATATGATTTGCAAATATTTTCTCTTATTTTATGGGCTGTCTTTTCTCTGTCTTGGTATCACTTGCAGCACTAAAGCTTTCCAATATGACGAATCCCAAGTGACTATTTTTTTCTTTTGTTGCTTGTCCTTTTGGCTTCATATCCAAGAAAACACTGTCTAACCCAAGGTCACAAAGATTTACTCCTATTTTTCTTTTATAAATTTTATTGTCTTAGTTATATTTAGGTTTATGATCCACTGTATACATTTTTGTGTGTGGTATCAGGTAGGGTCTGACTTCAGTCCTTTGCATGTGGGTATCCCAGTTGTCCTAGTACCAAAATTATTTTAATAAAACCACAACTATCTTTAAATGAAGATTTCTTTTTAATCTACTTATGGTCAGTTTTGCCCTGACCATACTCCCTCCTTGAAGTATCTTTTTCAGTATGACAATCATGAAAACCAAGGATTGAAATAAACTGAACTTACAACCAAGCCTATGCATAGATTTTTCTAAATCTTAAATTGAGCTTTTTAGAAACGAATGAAGCATATATAATCACATCATCTACACTAATGAATAAAAATACCTGTAAGATATTGATTTTTTTATTTTTCTCATTCTCTTAATATATTTTTAAATTATTTATAGTGTACATATTAATTTGGTATAATAATTATATGTATAATTTTTAACAGGTACCATATTCATGCATTATGGGTATAAGCTCAAATATTTTTATTGGATGTGATAAAAGCTTTAAGGCCACCTCTCTAGAGAAACTTTGTACATGCGGACAAAAAAAAAATCATATATGAATGTGAATTGGGGCACTGTTTGGAAAAATGGCAATAACCTAAATTTCCTTGAAGAAAAGAATGGATAAATAAATTGTGGTATATGCATGCAATGGAATATTATATAGTAGTTTAAGTGAGTAGATAAGGGATACATATGGTAATATGGGTAAATATTAAAATGATATTTTATAATATACGATATTGCAGAACGTACACAGGACAATACATTACGTTTAAAAACATGCTCAAGAACATTGTGAATATATACATATGTAGCAATATGTAATGTTAAAAGATTCATGAGAAAGATCATATCAAATTCTCAACTAATTTTGACCCAAGTATTGTCACTTTTTTTTGAGAGAGAGAGAGCGAGCGAGCACATGTAATTGGACGGAGGGGAAAACAGAGAAGGGGAGAGAGAATCCTTAGTAGGCTCCATGCTGAGCATGGAGCCCAATGCAGGGCTCGATCTCACATCTCTGAGACTGTGACCTGAGCTAAAATCAAGAGTCGGATGCTTAACCAACTGAGCCACCCAGATGCCCCAGTCACTTCACTTAAAGGACTCTGTTGAAGGTAGTCCATGTAAGTCTTGCAACTTACGATACCACATAATTAAAACAATTCCATTTTGTTTAAAATTCTGTGTACTCTTTTTTTAATTCATATATTACTCCAAAATCCAACCTCCTGACTTTCTCAAAGTTGTTCTATTTATCCGTTAGTTTCTGACATTAGTTTTTCAGAACTTTCCTTTTTTATGGATTGTCTCCTGGACATTGCTGAAATAATAAATCCTTTGATGCATTAAAGATTTGATGTTGCCAATTACAAGAAAAAAGTTTCTGGCTTATCTTCTACCACATGGGTGGGTTGGCGGGGTAAAATGTTGCTGATTTTAGGTGTCCTTCTTTCCCAAGATCTCAACAAAGACCATTTAAAGAAGAATGAAGCTTTAGCATAGCACCAGAACAAGAAAGGATACCACAGTTTAGACTGTTCAAAGTTTCCAAAGTTAGGAGACATTTCTGTAGAAATCAAAACAATGGTTCTGAGCCACAACGGACATCCCAGAGGTACTTCCAGCTCAGACTCAGATACAAAGATTAGGAAAGGGCCAGATGACCAGCAACAGAAGATTTCCTTCCAGAACTGATAGGATAGTTGTATGTATGTGCATGTATGCAGGACAGAGGAACAATCCAGAAGGCACAAAAGAAGATGTTATGGGCTGAATTGTGTCTCCACCCCAACCCCAATTCATATGCTGAAGTCCTAACTCTCAGGACCTCAGAATGTGACTGTATTTGGAGGTAGGGTCTTTTTTTTTTTTAAAGATCTTATTTATTTGAGAGACAGAGAGAGGGAGAGTGTGTGCGCACATGCACGAGTCGGGGGAGGGGCAAAGGGAGAGGGAGATGCAGGCTCCCTGCTGAGCACAGAGCCCTACGTGGGGCTTGATCCCAGGACCCCAAGATCATGACCTGGGCTGAAGGCAGATGCTTAACTGACTGAGGCACCCAGGTGCCCCTGGAGGTAGGGTCTTTAAAGAGGTAAAATGAGGTCATGAGAGATCCAAGATCACTGGTGTTCTTATAAGATTAGCACACAGACACACAGAAGAAAGACCATGTGAAGACACAGAGAGAGGATGGCTATCTTTAAGCCAAGGGGAGAGGCCTCAGAGAAAACTAACCCAGCCAGTGCTTTGATGTTGGACTTTTAGCCTCCAGAACTATGAGGAAATAATTTTTGTTGTTTAAGGCTTCCAGTCTGTGGTACTCTGTGATGGCAGCCTTAGCAAACTCATACAGGAGAGAACAAAGAAAATGAGAAGGAACCAAAAATCAAAAAGACCTAGTGCTGGCTACTACCCACATGTAGTTATACTGCAGAGAGATGTGAGAACACCAAGGAGAAAGAAGATCCCCAAAGCTTGGTAAAAGGAAACTTAAATCACTACAGAGAGTGGCAGATGTTGTGTGTGTGTGTGTGTGTGTGTGTGTGTGAGCACAACTAGGCACTGGATGCCAATAGACACAAGCCTCCAGAGTTCTGGGAAGAAAATGGTGGCCAACCTATGACCAAGTATGAGAACAGAAAAGCATTTTCAGGCAAGCAAGGACTTGGCAAATTGCCTCACAGCTTTTCTTGGTCAGATATTTGAGCACAAGTCTGCAGCCAAACAAGAAAGATGACCCAGAATTCAAGAAAGAAAGGTGCTAACCTGGGCAGACAGTGAAAATTCTATGAGGACAGTGGCATCACAGGACTACAGAGCAAATGGCCTTGTTACATCAAAGAGCATGCTGAGGAGTTGGTTCTCAAAGAGGAAGGTGAATTCCCTGGATCCATTCTCTGGATCACCCTGAAGACAGAAGCTCATGCTTTTGCCAAAAAG